TTCTAAATTGTTAATGACACCAGTATCATACTACTAGTTGTTGTCAAAGAAAAGAGACAGTATATTACTACTATCTGCCAAATAGCATATAATCACTATTTGTTTTTCCAACCAGAATATTATTTTGTAAATCCACAGAAAATAATTTTCTTCCGAAATTATTTACGAAGAATGAAAAAGGGAAACAAACGAAAAACTCTGTAAATAGAATAATTCGAATCTGTCTTAAGATTGTTGGAACAATCTTCTGTGTAAATAAAATAAATAGAAATAAATTCAAACAAATAAATAAATAATGTACCAAATTTATTTATTAAACCGAATGAATAATTAAAGACCAAGTCGAGTGTGTGACACTCTGTCCTTAAGACAAATTCGCCCCGCTACGGTGCTTACGGTTGAGTGGCGTCTATCTCCTAGGATACAATGATCTTCACAAATTGTAGTAGCACTCCAAACAATTTATTCGGCGAACCAAACCTGTGTTCTAACTCTCTGAAAATTACCCTAAAATAATATGAAGAATAAAGGACGCAAGAGAGCAAAATGAAGGCAAGGAAAATGAATTTTCGGAATCAATCAAAATTGGAATGGGATTGCCTTTATATAGGCTTTGTTGGCACCTATTTAATTTGAATAGAAAAGGTATGAAGAATGGACATATTCCTTCCTTTAAAATAAAGAGACACCATGAAAGGTTTGCACCCTTTCATTCAAATGGATGTTTGACCCTTCCTTTAAAACAAAAAGGCACCATGAAAGGTTACACCCTTTCATTCAAAATGAAGTCTACAACTACCTCTTTATAAATTTTCCAACACTTATTTGGGTTCTTTTGGCTTTTTGAGTCACAAAAGACAGAATAGGTTATTTGAGCCACAACAGACAAAACATCACATCCAATCCATAATCATTACACTCTTCTCTTACAAAAAAAATCAAAAAAACCAAAAAGTCAAAAAGTCCTTCCCAAACCAAGCTTTTGAGCCCAGGCTCAAATAGCCAAAAAAATCAAAAAGCCAACCCACTTCTCAAATGGAGGCTAAATTACACTGACACTCCTTGAAGCTTGCTCTGATTATATCTCCCTTCCTAACTTTTTAGAAATTACATCCCCTATCCTGAGATTTAGAGTCACATTACATGTTGCCCCCTCCTTTAGTTGACTTGCCCCCCTCTGTTAATTCAATTAACAGATTTTTCTTTATCAACAACTAATTTTGCCAAAATGCCTATTTTACCCTCACCTTTTCTCTTTGAACTTCATAATTCCACTCCAGTGACCAAAGCCACTGCATTTACCCAGCCACTTAAGACTTTCATCAAGTACTTGGCGTTGCCCCCTATTACCTCAATCATGCATTCCACCCCATAATCACCAGATTCCTCTTTCATTGGCCATCACCCCAAATTTACATCAATTTATCAATAAATCAGAAACTGTTGTGATGATCAAACTAATGCAACATCTTACCTTGGTTAAAAAAAAAATAAATTTAGTAGCAGCACAACAAAAGAAATTTGCTAAAGCAAATAAAGAAAGTCCATTTCATTGCCAAAGCAATAATTTATTACTAACTGAAAACACATCATACTATAATGTTTCTTTGGCTGCTTTAACAAATCACCATTGCATTAGCCGTCCAACACCCAAAATCAATACCCAGTGCACAATCGCCACCTCAAACCCTCATTGAAAAGAGAATCAAAGCAAGAGAAAGCTTACCTTACTTAGGACTTTTATCAAACACATTGTATTCAGCAACCATACCTTTACCTCCATCCCCAAACATTCTGCTTCTATCCCCATCACCCACTTCCAGCCATCAAACCAAAATTAACCCCCATTCCACCAAAATCGACAGTCAACATCCATGGGTTATGGTCAATAATTGCTTGTAGGGTATCAAACAAACGATGACTATTCTTAGTATATCTCATAACGGTTGATTGATGTGGTGTCAGCTTCACACAATCTTATGTCATGGACAACCAAAGTGGAGATTGCAATCACGATCATCAATTGATTAGCGTGTGATGTTGGAGAAGTCATGAATCTCTTCCCTGGTATGAATGTTCTTGTTCAAGTTGCAAAAAATTGGGTTTGAGAAAAATATATGTGTTGGGCTGTGGGTTGAACAATGTTGTTGGTTGGATGGGCGGAGATGATGGCAGTTTTGTGTGGAATGGTAGAGAGAGTGGTGGTGGACAGTGCTTGTAGATAACGGTGATGGAAAGTGGAATTGGGAAGGCAGGAGTCTGGTGTGTTGGAGTGACAAAACGTAATTTGGTAAAATTGATGTAACAAGTAAGGGTAATAATGTCACTTTACACTTTCTCTTAACAGTGTTAAAAGGGAGCTTTTATTTGCACACATCACTTCCTTTCTATACACATCCTTTTTAGTTCACGCACCAAAAAAAAAAAAAAAAACCACTCATTACGCACACTATTATTCCAATCATAACCCATATCTAAACCATACACATACAATTTTCCAACACACTCAATCCACGCACCTTCCCTTACATTTTTCATTCTTCAAACCCTAACCCTAAACCAGCCACCGTCGACGACACCATGGTCGCAGTCGCTGCCTCCAGTCATCACCTCACCGTTCCCTCCACCCACCATCGCAGCCTACACACCTGTCCAACCCCTCTGCTGACCACCCCTCGTTCCTGTTACTATACCACCATCGCAGCAGCGACACACCTGTCGTTCGTTAAACTAGGGTTGAAAATCACACATCAATTCGACCATCAACATCCTGAAGAAAACACATTGGTTCGACCTTCATCATCCGAACAAAACACATAAAAAAAAAAAAACGAAAAATTCTGTAAACAGAATAATTCGAATCTGTCTTAAGATTGTTAGAACAATCTTCTGTGTAAATAAAATAACTAGAAATAAACTAACAAAAATAAATAAATCTTACAGAATTTATTTCATTGAACCGAATAAATAATTCAAGACCAAATCGAGTGTGTGACACTCTGTCCTTAAGACAGATTCGCCCCGCTACGGTACTTACGGTTGAGCGTCCGCCACCCGCTACCCACCACCCACCGTCACCACTTTCCACCACCGTCTTCCACCACCATTTGCTACCACTTGCCATTTCTCACTCTTTTTTATATTTTTAAATTTTTTTAAACATTTTGTCAATTACCAAACGCGTTTGTAGTTTATATTTTTCTAAAATAAATAAAAACCAATTTATAAAACTTTTGTAAATATAAACTAAAAACGTAAACGTAACCAAACACACCACATAGTTTCAACACAACAAAAGAAATTTGCTAAAGCAAATAAAGAAAGTTCATTTCATTTCCAAAGCAATATTGTATTACTAACTAAAAACACATCATGCTATAATGTTTCTTTGGCTGCTTTAACAAATCACCATTGTATTAGCCGTCCAACACCCAAAATCAATACCCAGTGCATAATCGCCACTTTAGACCCTCGTTGAAACGAGAATCAAAGCAAGAAGAAGCTTACTTCGCTTAGGACTTTTGTCAAACACATTGTCTTTAGCAACCATACATCTACCTCCATTCCCAAACATTTTTCTTCTACCCCTATTACCCACTTTCAGCCATCAAACCAAAATTAACCCCCATTCCATCAAAATTGACAGTCGATATCCATGGGTTGTGATCAGTAATTGCTTTTAGGGTATCAAACAAACGATGACTATTCTTAGTAGATCTCATAACGATTGATTGTTATGGTGTTAGCTTTACACAATCTTATGTCATGGACAATGCAAGTGGAGATTGCAATCATGATCATCAATTGATTAACATGTGATGCTAGAGAAGTCATGAATCTCCTTGCTGGTATAAATGTTTTTATTCAAGTTGCAAAAAATTAGGTTTGGAAAAAATGTATGCAGTCGGTTGTGGGTTGAACAATGGTATTGGTTGGATGGGCGGAGAGAATGACAGTGTTGCGTGGAATGATAGAAAGGGTAGCAGTAGACAGTAGTTGTAGATGATGGTAATGAAAAGTGGAATATGGAAGAGATGAGTTTGGTGTATTGGAGTGCTAAAAGGTAATTTCGTAAAGAGTAATACTAGGGATCATGAAAGAAATATTATGAAATGCATTATGAAAATTTTTCATCCTTTAATTAGTGTGTGATGTTTTATTATATGTGTAATCTAAAAGTGAAAAATCTTTCATGATCATTTTTATGACACTTTTTTCATAATTCCTAACATTACTCTTTGATAAAATTGATATAACACGTAAGACTATCTCCAACGGTGAACCAAACCCAGCATCAGATTTAAATTTTGATGAAAAACCCACTTTTTCACGCTCCAACGGTTGCACCAAAGTCATACCAAAATGAGAATTCAGCAAACAAGACATCAAACTGAGATCAAGACACAGATTTTACCAAATCACTGTTACTGACCGTTGAAAATGCTACACCGGTCGACCAACCGGTTGCCCGGCCGGTTGACCAACCGGTCAACCAGTAAAAGATTCAAACAGTTCAGGAAAAAAAGTTCAAACCGTTAAAAAAAAAAAAAAAAATTTTTTTGCCTAACCGGTCAACCGGCCGGTCGACCACCCCGGTTGTCCCGAAAAAAGTTCAGAAAGTTCAAAAAAAGTTCAGACAATTCGCAAAAAAAAAAAAAAAAAAAAAAAAATTTTTTTGGCCTAACCGGTCAACCGGTCGGTCAACCACCCGGTTGTCCCGGGATAGATTTGGTGAAGGTGAACCGTTGGAGCCTAAGGTATCAAATTCAGGAAATGGCCATTTTTTAACTCAGATTTGGTGAAATTTTTGATTCACCGTTGGAGATGCTCTAAGGTAATAATGTCACTTTACACTCTCTTAACAGTGTTAAAATACAAACACTGACAAGGGGTGCAGTGTAATTTCAAAAATATAGAGGGAGAATTTATATTAAACCCAATCCTGAAAGGGGGTCAGCGTAATTTACCCTAACTTTCAACTACCTTAGGCCCATGTGAATGGAAAACCCACTTCCCAAATTTTCTGACACCCAGTAACCCTCTAATTAGGGTTTTACTGGTTTTGCGATCTTCGAACAGAGCAACCGAGCGGAGAAGAAGAAGAAGAAGAAGAAGAAGAAGAAGACGAACCAGCGGCTAAGGCGATGATTAGGGTGGCAGCTAAGTTGTCAAGAGCGGCCACAACCGCCGCTCGAACCGCCGTGACAGGCCTCGTTCCCCGTAAACCACCACGCATCCTCCTCCATGCAGCAGCAGCAGCATCACCACCACCACCACCACAATCTTTGAGATCATTCTGTACAAATAATGGCCCCATTGGCAACCCAGTTGCACTTCAAATGATCAATTATGCCTTCTCTCTTGCCCGCTCCAATAAATCAGGTCAGTTTATAACTATTCAGTTTCTCAATTCCAGTCTTTTGAAACTCTACAATTCATGTTGTTTTTGTACATGTAGATGAATCGTACGCACAAGCTCAATTAGTTCTGGAACAGTGCTTCTTGATTCAACCAGATGACAACTCCAAGGGCATGGTCCTACTTGCAATGTCTACCTTATTCTATGAAAGGTTTTAATTTTCTTACATTTTTTTTTTCTATTTACTATTATTTATCTTTTATTATTGCTATTATTGGATTGCTTTCACTTTTGTCCAGTAAACTATGACAATTTTTCAATTTCATTCATAAATTATTAATTTCATTTATTTAGTCTCTAGAGCTTAGTCCAATTGGATATAATTGTACAAATCAGTAACCCTTAAACCCAATTTAATGGTCAAAAAAGTCATTTCAAATATGAACAATTTAATCATACAACCAAAACACCCATTAAATCAAATTGGGGTGTAGTTCGTTCAAAATAGTAAGAAAAATGAGTGTTTGATTCTATGGTCTAAGTTGTTCAAATTTTGAAATGTCATTTTGCCCATCAAATGAGGTTTGACAGTTACTGATTTGTGACAATTGTCTCTAATTGGTTCACATAAATTTTAATGAAATTAATAGTTTAGGGATGAAAATTAAAAAAGTGGTCATAGTTTAGGTTATAAAAATAAAATCAACCCTTCATAATTTTGATAGTTTGTCTAACTTGGGGTTTTCCAGTGGATTTTTCTCTGAAGCCATTGAGAAACTGCAGAAAGTTGAAGATCTAAGCGTCTCTTCTGTCGGTGTTAGAGGTAAATTTGGTAGTGTGTTTTTGTTGATTTCTATTTTATTGGTCCTTTTTAGTTTCACAGCAAATAATTGTTATGTTCAACTTGGATAATAAAATGGGTGTCAAATGCTGTATAAATCCGGTCTTTGTCGCAGTTGCTGCCACGGAAGCTCTTGTTGGACTCCATTTAGAGTTTGGTGAGGTATTGTTTTCACAAATATGCCCCCGACAATTATCTGTTTGTTTGTTTAAGTTTTAAATTAGGATTTTATGTTTAAAGCTCAAATTTATTTGGGGATGATCTTCCCTTCATAGGACGATACTGCATCAGTGCTTGCAAATGTATGCAGACAACTCTTGGATGCAATCAAACTAGAAATTGGTATTGTGTATGGCTTTGAGTTTCTAGATGCCCATACTAAGGCAATTAAAGGACTAGTTGAGCTTTGCCGTGGTCATCTTCAATCAGGTACAATTTAAGAGCCCGTTTAACCTATGAAGTTTTAGTTTGTCTAGTTCTAAATTCTAATGCCGAGTTACTTTCCTGCAGCGGAGTCATTCTTTCAAGGTGCTCAGGAGGACAAAGTTTGCGATGGTGGGTTCATTTCTATTGGTCATACCAGCAGGCTCTGTTCTACAATATATTGATGTTGTGATATATAGGAAATATTGCTCTATCATATGGAGAATTCTTGCATGTCACACGGAATTTTTTAATGGCAAAGGAGTTATATGGGAAGGTAATTAAGTGGGGGATACGTGAGAATAAAGATTTCAATGATCCATATTACTTAGCAGCTTGTAATATGTCCTCAGAGGAAGTTCTGTTGGCTGCTACTTGTGCATCGGGACAGCTTGAGGCACACTTGGGGTAAGTTTGTAATTCCATTTTCGCATTCGTGTTAGCTGTCCAACTCTATTATGATAGTCTCATGTCATGGATTTTTACCTGTATTGTTTTAGGAACTTTGGTGATGCAGAGGAGATACTAACTAAAGCATTAACGATAACAGAACAACATTTTGGTGCGGTACTTCTGCTTTTACTTAGTGGAAGTAGGATCTATCAAGGCCTATCATATATGTATTTACCATGGTTTTATTAATATGATGCAGGATCACATCATCCCAAGGTTGGGGTGGTTCTAACCTGCATAGCTCTCATGTTTCGGCATAAAGCAATGTTGGAGCATTCAAGTTCGATTTTGATTCAAGAGGTTAGAAGAAGTTACATACTATCCACCTAGTTGTTTCACCAAACTTTTTTTGAGTTCTTACAATGACTTTATTTTTCATGGTGTCACAGTTGGATCCGTACACAAGGGGTGTTTTTTTGACCAAGGGGTGTGATTTAATCATTTTAGGAAACTGATTTTATTATTTAAAAAGACCATAAATTAATAGAAGCCATGTTTTTGACATAGTGGCATTGAGGAACATGAGTTTAATTTAGATTTGAGTTGTTCAAGTAAGTGCCATGAAGGAAAATAGAATGTTTACTCACATAACTAAATGATTTGGATTACTTTAAACTTGGGTCTGGGGGAGCAATCCTCTGCCATATGATGTCAGTTGAACTCTTTTGACATGGCTCCAATGATCTATCAACTCTCTTGAATTGATCTCATAATTAAATGTGGTGTTGTTCTGATTTTGAGGTATGACTAAGGTTTTAGCATGTACAAGGATATATATATATATATTTTTTTTTTCTTATTGGTTTCTTAATAATCTGTAGGGACTTTATAGAAGGGCGATAGATTTGCTAAAAGCTCCACCATTGGATGCTGAAGGTATGTGTGACAATGTAGTGCCTGTTTCCTTGTCTAATATAAAATCAATTTGTGAATGTTGTCTTTTTGATTCCGTAGGTGCACAAGCAAAGTTCTTTAGAAAGGACATATTGGCCCTTGCAAGAGGTATAGTTTACCATCCCATTTTTTTGATACTGCATTATTTAGAGAATGAGTTTCAGTTAACCCATATGGAGCAATTACATCTCATTAATGACTTAGCGAACTTGGTTCTTGTCTACAAAATTGGTTGTGTGCCTATATTGTGGCAGTCCTGTGATAGCATAGCAATAGCAGACTTGATCATCACTTATTGACCTTTGATTGCACACCTTTTTTGAATAATGAGAATATTGAGCATTCACCTGCATAAAATTGACCTCCTTTTGGCACTCTTGTGAATTTTTACCACTAGCAGAAGTATATGTTCTTACTTCTTCAGTCCCAAATTGTTGGTCCACTTTCACTATTCTAGACATCCCAAAAAATTGTATATATTTTTTAATTTCTTTCTTTTTTAATGATTTTGAAAACTAATTGAGATCTAATTTGTGAAAAAAAAAATTGATTATTTTTATAAGAGAAAGTACATTATTTATTTACCCGATTAAAAGGCATGAATGCTCAAAAGGACCAACAAATTGGGACAGAGGGAGTAACAATTAAAGTAAAAAATTTTAGTTGGGATGCGACTCTTAAGTGGTTAGGCTCTCTAGTCCCCTCTGTTTCAAAGGTTTGATAGCTGTATCTTATAAAGGTATGAACTGGCTCTGGTGGAGTATTAACCATGTAAATTAAGGATGGAAGATCGTCATGGTCTAATCCTTGGGTTTCATCCTCGTCAGAAGAAGAATCAACTCGACACAAGAAGTGGGCATTGTATGAAGGAGCTCAGAAATGGGGTTACCAAAAGTTGTACGTGAGGCCTTTGAACTAGACACGACGGCATCAACAATATAATGAGATACACATGTTCACAATATGCGCATACATACTAGCGGCTATTCATGCATATATGCATAAATGTGTCCATGTTCTGTGTGTATGTTTCTCTGTCTTGGGTGTGCATGCAATTGGTATGATTATTGATGACCTGATCAAAAAGACCACTGCAGCTTAGCTGTCAAACTATATATGTATTTATGAATCTCTGTATGTAAGTACTTATTTTTCTTATCTATTTATTTGTTTGTGTGTGGCGCACTCATGCATTCAGTGTGATTATTATGGTAATTTCTGCATCATCTAGTTGACTGTGTTTGTGTAGGTGGATATGCAGAAACATTGTGTATTCAACAGAATAGAAAGGCTGAAGGAGAGAGAATGAAGAGTTGGGCGGAGTCTGCCTGGAGAAATCCCCGTCTGTCTCTTGCTGAAGCACTGGATATATCCGAGCCTTCTTCCAAAGTGCCAGTTATAGATTCTCGAATTTTCAGGGCCATGTAGTTTCTTCCCTTTTTTTTTTGGTTGGCGTTATTGTATATATGTTCAAATCCCGTGAAGACAAGCAGAAGCGTGTATATTTGTATCTTTTTTTTTTTTTTTGAATAATAGCTTGCGGATAAATCATGAACTATGTAGAGGAAATAAAGTAGTCAAATTCAAGTTTCTGACGATTTTTTTAGGGTTCATTTGGACTTGTTCTAAACTAGCCATAGTACTGTAATGGCCATTGTACTTTGGGTTGCAAACTTACTGCTTCAAGTAGAAAAATGTCTCATTTTGGATGTTATCTAGAACACAAAAATCAAAATATGAAAGCAAAAATCAAATTATGAGAGGATTTTCAAACTTCATAGACAAGAAACGACAAGAAGAAACAAACAATGCATACAACTGCAGTAATTTCCATGAATTACAGGGTTCATGAGTTACTGACACTGCTCAATGGATACAATACAAAGTTAAAAGAAGGATTACAGAACTATAAAAGTTACTGCTTTGTGAAAATTAAATTAAACCCCATGTGATGTAAATACTGTATGTACTTGGATTGAATGCTCATAGAGGTAGATCAAGACCTTTCCCAATATCCACCCCTATGACTTGAAGTATTCCCTTGTTTATTATCTGAAAAACAGAGAGTTCCACAATTATAAAAGAACACCACACTTGAAAGGGTACTCCTTTTCCTAAAATCTTAGGAAAATGATTGGTAAATAGAAAGTTTATATAGAAAAACATTAAACCCATTATAGTGTGTGTTTTGCACCCTAAAAAAAAATAAAAAAATCCTTACGAGATGTCATATAGTTGTGTGAAAATTTTGTATAAAATTGTGTTTGTATATGTTACTCTTTGTGACAATGTAGTGCCTCCAATGCACTCCTAATTGCATGGTGAAAATTTTGAAATATAAAAATTTGAAGGCACAATTGTACGGCCGGAGGTGCATTGAGATAGAAAACAGAATTTTAAGGACAAAAAAACTCATACCAAAACAAAAAACCTCTTCAATTGTTGAAAGAAGTGAACTTAAATTGGATTTACCAGTTCCACGATGAATGTCCCAATGAGGCCAATCATACAAGCTCTGGAGTTCCATATTTCTGCAGTCTTTGTGAACCCTAGAAATGGTGCTTTGAACTGAGGCTCTACTTTGGGCAATTCTACCTGAAATTTTCAAAAATCCATTTGAATTAAACAAATTTTAGTGTGCCAACACACAAAGCCACAGATTAATCTTACATACCAAACACATAAATTAAAAAAGAAAAAAGAAAAAGGCCAAACAAAGAACATACCCCAGCAGGAAGCTTGGCAGCCTGGACCTTGAGAGAGGAGTGCTTTCGAGAAGTTTTGATGTTTGGATTGGGAGTGTGAAAGAGTGAAAGTGGTTGTTGATTCTGAGGATGAATTGTTGGAGTTCTTGTTTGGAGGAAAGAGGAGGAAATGGATGGCAGAGTAGCCATTGTTCTCTCTTCCCAAAACCTTATCCACTAATGCCTTTCGACTAAAGCTTTTGAGGACTAACCCTCTGGGCCCCATCATAGTGGAGATAGGAGATGTACATTGGGGTTTTAGATATTTAAAAAAAAAAAAAATGTTAATAACAAAATCGGACATAAGTAAACTTCTAATTGATTAGAGTTTAGAAGAAATTAGTGATTAGTGAACCCTTAAGTCTACTCATCAAAAACAAGTAGGAGAAGTGACTTGGGCTTTGTAGAGAGCTAATGCCTTTCGACTAAAGCTTTTGAGGACTAACCCTCTGGGCCCCATCATAGTGGAGATAGGAGATGTACATTGGGGTTTTAGATATTTAAAAAAAAAAAAAATGTTAATAACAAAATCGGACATAAGTAAACTTCCAATTGATTAGAGTTTAGAAGAAATTAGTGATTAGTGAACCCATAAGTCTACTCATCAAAAACAAGTAGGAGAAGAGACTTGGGCTTTGTAGAGAGAGAGATAGAGAGACATAACTTGAGAGAGAGTTCTAGAGGGTCAAGAAGGGAAAGAAGAGAACAAGGAAGAAGGAGGGTTGATCTTCAAATCAACAAATCTAAGGTAGGAATTCTCTCTTAATTTCTTTGAATTAGAATATTTACATTCATGAACTCTTGAAATTAAGCTTACTTGGTAAGAAATCATGCATAATTGTGAGTTTGGTGGTGGAAGTTAATGTTAAGAATTCATATGAACATAAAATAGAAGAATTATAAGAATTAGTTCCAAATAGCAACATGCATGGCATAACTTCATAAAATTCTTGTTCATACACAAAACTTCTTGCATGGTTCTTCCACTTTGGGGAGGAAACGCCATGGATTTTGAGTTTGGAACTCAAATATGCATGTTCTATGTTGTTACACTTCAAGTTAAGATTTTGATCTTTTAAATGGAAATTTGATTTTTGTTATGATTTTTTGTTTGAAGTTAGATATGGTAAAATTAAGTTGTTTTTAAGAATTTTGAGCCTTGATATGCATGGATTTGAAGATGGATTTTGAAAATAGGAAGTTTCAATTCAAGAACAGATTTTTGGACTGAGTTTCAGCCCAGATTGCACGTGCGGCTAAACCTCCCCTATTCCAGTGTTGCTTCTACTTTAATTGCACATGTGGAGTGCATGTGCAATGGATGTGGAGTGCATGTGCAATGGTGGTTCCACACGTGCAGCCGGTGCTCCCGCACGTGCGATTTTCAAGGCAGACTTGGTTTCTTTTTCCTTCTGTTTTTCAGACTTTTGAGCCTCAATTTGCATGGTTTTCACGTGTTTTTTACATTCATATGCATAGCATGAACATGAAGGAAATTAAAGAACGAATAGAAAGAACTGAGTGAACAAGTGGTGAATGAATCAAATAGGTTTAAGAATCGACTGAATGAATTGAATGTGTTTTGAAATGTTATGCTTGAATATGTTTGTGTAGGTCAGACACCGTATTGTGACCACGTGATTCAGGGAGTGAACTGTGAGTAACAACCTTGTAAAGATATGTTCAAGTTATAAATATTTTCTGACTTGTAATATGTTCTATTTTTGCAGTGATGATTTCTAATTGATTGAATTTGTGAAATGTATTCGTTGCATCCTTAGCATCTGTTACTGTTATTGTTATTACTACTATTACAGAGATCTCTTTCAGTTCCAATTTTTGAAACTACTGTTTGCTGCATTGACGGCCATCATATATGACTATTTGGTCTTCTAAGGCCTATTATACTATTATGTTACTGGATGTACCACATATAACTACTATGATTGCAATATGATTCTGAAATGAGGAACTGATCCGCTGATGATAATTGACTATTTTAAATATTGTAAGGATATCATTCATAACCCCTTTTATAGAGTTGTTATGCACTGGATTTTAGCTCACTGTTATATATATATATATATATATATATATATTGTAGGTGAGCAAGCTCAAGATTGGCATCGACCTAGCTTCTGCTTTGTCAAGCCAACTCTCGTGCCTCACCGCGAGGTTCCTAACAGCCAAGTTTCAAGGCTTCATGGGTGGTTTAGAATTCAACCTTTTGTGTTATGATCAAGTGTTATATATGATTTTGATTGTTGTTAAGACCGGTTTTGTTATTGGGCTTTAATCCCTAAGTTTTGTTTATGTTTTGTACAAACTTGACATAAACTTATGTGCATATATGTATATATAAAGGTTTGTTTTGTTCATCTAGGTCTTTACAACTCATTAGATGTTATATTTTAATATGTATTGGCTTCCGCCAGCCACTATTCCTATATTACTGTTAAGCAGGCCTTTGATAATCTTGGATTACTAGCTGGTCACTTCTCTAATCCCTTGGGACTGGGGTTACGTCGTGACAATGATCGAATTCTATACGCGAGGCAGAATTGTTTGGATATTCAATGATTACCCCTTGCTCAGTTTTCAAATGTATTGTATTTTATCAGAATTGAAATCTGGACCTATTTGGTGACATGTGTTTTTCTTTATGGGGTTTTTCTTTTTCATTCAACAATAGCCTCACGAATTGCATTCTCTTTACAAAAAAATTTGGCTTAGTTGATTGCAAAATAGCAAAAGTTATTTAATGACTCAAAATCAAAAATAAGTAGTGTTTTAACTATTTGATTTGACCATTCATGTTTGTTGTTTGATGTGGTAGACTCCAATACCATCAGTACAATAGAACCATGTATATATAGGGGTGTAATAATTGCCCAACTTGGCCCACTTGAGCACGAGCTCAGGCTGGCTTGTGTGGGCCTCATGAGCTTCGCTTGGTCACTTCTCTAATCCCTTGGGACTGGGGTTACGTCGTGACAATGATCGAATTCTATACGCGAGGCAGAATTGTTTGGATATTCAATGATTACCCCTTGCTCAGTTTTCAAATGTATTGTATTTTATTAGAATTGAAATCTGGACCTATTTGGTGACATGTGTTTTTCTTTATGGGGTTTTTCTTTTTCATTCAACAATAGCCTCACGAATTGCATTCTCTTTACAAAAAAATTTGGCTTAGTTGATTGCAAAATAGCAAAAGTTATTTAATGACTCAAAATCAAAAATAAGTAGTGTTTTAACTATTTGATTTGACCATTTATGTTTGTTGTTTGATGTGGTAGACTCCAATACCATCAGTACAATAGATCCATGTATATATAGGGGTGTAATAATTGCCCAACTTGGCCCACTTGAGCACGAGCTCAGGCTGGCTTGTGTGGGCCTCATGAGCTTCGCGAGCTCTTGCTTTTTTGACAAGTTAGGCCGCCCTGGCTAGTGGGCCGGAAAGTGAGGCTTAAGCCTAGGCCAAGACCCACTCAGTATGAGGCCTAGGGCCTGGGCTCGAGCTCGAGCCATGAGCGGGGCCTACGCGGGCCGGCCTTTTTTTTTTTTTTAAATGAACGATAAATATATTATGTATGTAGATTATTTATTAGGGATAAAAAGAAAAATTGTACTAGAGTAGTTTAGTTAAGATTAATAAGATTTTTGGTTATGTTTCATGTGTGGTGGTATTTAAATTTAATTATGTATGACTTATATTTTTTTAGTTAACTTTTAACTAAAAATAAATAAAATTATGTAATTTTCTTCTTTTGAAATGAATAATTTTATATATATATCAAAATGAAACTTTCAATATTACAATCATTAAATTATTATATAACATTTATTGAATGAATAAATTTTATTGCAAAATGAGATAAAACATTGCAAAAATTTATATCATTAAATAAAATAAATGTAAATTATTGATGATGGTAGAGCAATTGTATCACTATAGGACATCCCAACTAGGTTGGCACCTACTAGTCTATCAATTATTTGCATTACTCTACCTCAAAGATCTAATATTAAAAAATAACAAAATGATATAGTGAAATACAAATTATTGATCAATCATCAGAGGAGACAGGCAATTCATTCGCTTTGTCCGAGGATATGTCATCCAAATCATTTTGAATTCTCTCATTTTCACTATAATTTTGTTTCCTCAAAAGCGCATGTATATAATCTTTAGATATCATCAGTACCTTAACCATATGGGTGAAAGCCTACTGCAGTAATCGTTCAGCACTCATCCACTTGCACTAAAAGCTATTTCCGAAACAATTGTAGAAATATGAACAGTTAATACATCACAAACCATCTATGAAATCACAGGCCACATAATTTCATTTTGTTTTCCACTAATCTAAAATGTCAAAATCATTGAAATCATCCACTGATGGGTTTTTCAAATAACGTTGTTGTTCAGAATTACTTACGCTTGTATGTTAAGATATTCTTCTATTTTTATTACTGAAAAAATAATTAATCTACCGCCTCGAAATGAGACTGCTTGTGTAGTGTGTGTAGGTATATTTGTAGATGCCTTGTATTATTCAAATAATATTTTTCATGTTTGCATAATAGGGGCAAAGTATTTTTGATCAGCAAAAATATGTTCTAAAAATTCTTGTAAACCAATATTTTTACACCTAGGATCAATTATTATGGCTAAGTCTAAATGATGACGCAATGTATCAAAATATTTATCAAATTTTACTTTCATTGAAATAATAATAGTTATATAATATTCATTACCCATAAATTTTATAAAAACTTTAATTATTTCTGTTAACATATGTAAAACAAATGGTGAAGTAAGAATATATATATATATATATATAAGAATATAATTTTGTTGAAGTATAAAAAATCTTTTAAATTTTTTTTATACAAGGCTATTTGACTCTAATTAAGTTATGTGGGAGTCATACTCCTTCTATTGATGTTGTTTGTTTACAAGCTCTTTTTAACATATTATACGTTGAGTTTCACCTACTGTCTATATCTAAAATTAATTTTTTAAATAGCATACCTTTTCGTTTACAAATTTTTCTGTATTCTGAAATTCGATTAGCAGAAAATATAATAGTAACAACTGCATTTTTTATTACAAGTACATAAGTCTCATATATATGCATAGTTTCTTTAATAATCAAGTTTAAAATATGGACACAAC